GAAAGAGAGCAATATTAATGTTCTAAATCTTGTGAATTTGAAGGATCAATTAAAATAATGTATACCCAGCATTTTTTTTTTAATTTTAAGTGATCTGTACATCCAGCATGGGGGCTCAGACTTCAAGATGAAGTATTGCATGTTCTACTAACTAATAAGCCAGCCAGGCATCCTGTGAAAGCATTTTGAAAACAATTAAATTAGGTTGTTTCTGATTACAAACAAGAAAGACCGGATTCAAACTCACCTTTAAAATAGGGGTACTTGTTATATATCACATAACAAAAAAATGAAGCAGTATGGTAGAGATTAGGCTCTGCTCTATTAAAGTGGGTTCCAGGTTTCTGCCTTCCCTTGGGCATCATCTTTGTCCTGATGCTGCCTGCTGCATTTTGACAGTGGCAGCTCCCAACTTTACAGCTGCACATGGCATCATCTATAGCAACATTATCCAGTAGAAATTTTTGTGGAGATGTAAATGTTCTCTGTTTGTGCTATCCAGTGCGGTAGCCGTTAGTCATATGTAGTAGCTGTTGAGCACTTGAAATATAACCAGTGCAACTAAGAACTATATTTTTAACTAATTAAGTAACCACATGTGGCTGGCTAGTGACTACCATATTGTTAAGCACCAATATAAAGCATCAGAGATCACTTGCGTGATCTAGAAACTAGAGTTTCTACCAAACGTTCTAAAATTAATTCTGTTATGCTGGCTTAGATAACATGCATTCACACTTGTTCCTGTAGTACACTAATCGTGGTGGTAAGAAGATGGAAAATACTTGTCTTATTCTAGCTAGATGTTCCACCTCTGAGATGTACTATGAAGCTACTGTAATCCAGAAAGTTTGTGTCTGTATAGGTGGGGATAGATATGTAGCTCAGTGGAACCAGGATACAGAACTCAGAAATAGACCTGTACATTCATGGTTAACTGATGTTTGACAAAAGTGCTAAGGTAAATCAATAAGAAAAGGAAAGTCTTTTTAATAAATGATGCTAGAAAAACTGGATATACATAGAGAAAAATAAATATTAGTACACATCATACCCATTTCTGTGGAATAAGGAGTATGCATAGGTGAGTAATAAAGGTGAAAAACAGACAGATTGGGTGTGGTTGATAGGGTGCCCTGAGTATAGAGTGTTTGACATTTGTCTTATGGGCATTGGGCAGCCTTTAGAGGTGTTTAAAAAGCTTAGGTAGTCAAATAATAGTTACCAGAATACTTATCGGGCAGCAGATTGTCAGCATTTTAAAAGTTGTTTATAGGGCAGCCTGGGTGGCTCAGCGGTTTAGCGCTGCCTTTGGCCCAGGGAGGGAATATTCTTCCCAGTAGATTCCCAAAGATGAGCACACAGCTTAATAATGTCCTTTAAAATTGAACTAAAAGCAGTATTGCTTACTTCAGTGTTAACAAATTTGTACCCATAAAACTTCATCAGGGGCACCCGGGTGGCTCAGTCGGTAGGACGTCTGAGATTCTCTCTCTCCCTCTGCCCTTCCCACACTCAAGCACACTCTCTGTGTCTCAAATAAATCTTAAAAAAAAAAAAAAAAAGGCAAAAACTTCATCAAATGTTACCCAAAGCTATTAGGAACAAAAGCATAGAGTATGTTTAAATGGAAAGGAAGTTTACGAATGAAGGGGATGTGATTCTCTCCACTCTGTAACACTGGAAATACTGCCTTTATTGCTGTATTGCCCCATCTTCCACATGATTCCCAGTATATATTATTTCTAGCCGTTAGAGAAGTAAACAGACGTACAAAGAAAAAAAGTACAGGTGCTTTTCTCTCATGTAGTTTAGACATTTCTGAAAAATCTCACAACACTAAAACTTGTACAACTTTGTGTTCTGAGCAACACAAACTAAAACATAATTGTAATTAAAAAGAGAGCTTGAACTGCTCAGTGAGGCAACTCAGTAGTGGCTACCACCATGGGTGTTACAAATGCACAAAATTCATTACTTGAGTAGAAATGTTGGCAACACTTGAATTAGAATGGAGATAGTCGTCTTAGGACAGTGCAGATGGCAGTGTAGCAGCGACCAGTGGAGGGTGGTGGAGGTTGCCGTTAAAGCAAGCATGGGAATGCTCAAGGCTGGGAATACTCTGAAGCCTTCGTTTTCAATTTTCTTTTTTCTTTCTTTTTTAAATTGCATGCAGTTAATTCATTTTTTTTTTTTTAAATACTCCTGCTCTCAGGAGAACTTTCTCCTTTCTGCTAAAGGTTATAATTCTCTTGCCACTTTCCTGGTTCCCTTTGCCTAGGAAAAAGTCCCCAGTGAACCAGAGAGACTTCTTTATTATACTGACAATATTCTGTATTTACCAGTTTCATAGCACCTAATTTACATTCCAAAAAACATTATAGTAGAGCAGGCTGTATTGTTTAATCATAGAAAGTTTTTTTTTTAAAGCACATTCTTCAGCTCAGATGAACATAAGTTCCATCTGAATAAGTGGCTGCTATATAAAGAAGATTATTCAGAGAGGGGAAGTTGTATTATTTTGCTGTCTTCTTTTAGGGTGTATAAAAGCTCTTTTCATAGATTCTGTTGGCTTTTGTTTCATTTGTTGGTTCACTGGTCATAATATACCTGGATATAGGACTCAATAGGTATGGATTCCAATGTGCTTATTCATAATCATGGTAAAGATTTCCAGTGTTTTCTATGACCTGCATAATTACTTTCATACGATTTGGTATCTTTATAAATCATCGCTCCCAATATCTTTCACTATCATGTGAAATTGAATGTTCAGTGAGGCAACTTAGTGTAGCTAGTGGCTACCACAGTGGGTATTATAGACATATCTGAGATTAACTTTGTTCTATTCTTTTTATTGAGATATAATTTACAGACCATAAAATTCATCATTTAAAATTATACATCTGTGGTTTTTAGTATATTCAGAAGTTTGTGCCACTATGACTACTAATTCCAGAACATTTTCATGAATCTGAAAAGAAACTTGGTACTCATTGACAATCATTTCTCAACTCCCCTTACCACCTCATCCTGGCAACTGCTAACCTTTTTTCTGCATCTATGGATTTTCCTATTCTGAATATTTCATATAAATGTTCTCTTTTTGTGTCTGGCTTTTTCCATTTAGCATAATCCTTTCAAGGTTCATCCATATTGTAGCATGTATCAGTATTTCATGCCATGGCTAAATGATATTCCATTGTATGGACATACCACATTTTGTTTATCCACTCATCAGTTGATAAACATTGGGTTGTTTCTACTTTTTGATTGTTACAAAAATGTGTCTGAAACTTGTGTACAAGTTTTAGTATGGAGATCCTTTCATTTCTTTGGTAATCTCCCTAGGAGTGGAATTTGCTGGGTTGCATGATAGCTCTCTGTTGAACTATTTGAGGAACTTGACAGTGGAATTTTTGTGGAAAATGTGGAACTCTTTTCCATATTTAACTTAAAGATAAAACAAAAACATCATCAGAAAACTTTGTGGATGTTAGAAAATATTTGGTTCATTTTTTTCCCAAAAACATTGATTTTTTTTTTTTATTTCTGTTGTTGGACCAAGTTTTCTGGACCAACTCTTCAGTGAAGACAACTAAAAATACTAGATAAATTGTATAAAAACTTTATAGCATCAAAGAGCTGTTAAAGGACATGCCAGACCAAAATCTAAGAAAAGGTGAGAACCTAAAAAGTAAAGAAATATTTAAAGTCTGGCTACCCTGAGTCATTTGCCCATCAGGATAAAACAGTTGTAAACTAAGCTTCAGGTTTTGGTGGATCCAGAGGCAAAGAGTAAACCTCATTACTTCTAGGTTTCTGAGTCTAATAGATTGCTTCCCATATCAAATTGGGACCTTAGAAAGAGGGAAAAATCCACTGCCTTTTCCCTACTTGCAAAAGATTGCAAGGAGGGGTCTATTGTACTGAACAAATTAGGGAAAGAGGAGAATAATAAAAGAAAGAGAACCTGTGTCTCAAAGGTTGTAAAATAAGTACCAGCATTGTGTGGAATCACTGTCCAAAGTCCTTTAACACAAGAAGTCCACATTTGCCACAGGTAACTGGAAGAAGCAAAAGCAAATTGACACACTTTTTAAAGAAAGGCATCTTATTCAAGGCATCAAAAATGTCTTTCAGATAACCTTTCAAAACTATAGAGTATCCATCATACAAAGATGATCAACCATAAAAGAAAATAAGGCATAAACAAAATGCAGAAGAAATAGCAGATACTGATGTCTGAATACTTCAGATACTCTTATTATATTCATAGATTATAAATAATTTCATTCTAATAAGCTTGCAAACGTGTATAAGAAATGGGAAATTATAAGAGAGGTGATAAATAGATTTGAATGAAATACTTAGAGCAATGAAAAAAACAGAATAACCAAAATGAAGAACTTAGTAGGCATGCTGGAATTATATTTGACATAGCTGAAGAATTTGTGAACTGAGGGATCCCTGGGTGGCGCAGCGGTTTGGCGCCTGCCTTTGGCCCAGGGCGCGATCCTGGAGACCCGGGATCGAATCCCACGTCGGGCTCCCGGTGCATGGAGCCTGCTTCTCCCTCTGCCTGTGTCTCTGCCTCTCTCTCTCTCATTCTATGTGACTATCATAAATAAATAAAAAAAAAAAAAAAAAAAAAAAAAGAATTTGTGAACTGAAAGAAGTTATATGGAGGCTTAGCACAAAGGGATGAAAAGGTAGATATAGGATGTTGAGGAAAAGGAAGATTGGTTAGATATTCTAACCTAAATTTTTCTTGGCATTCTAGAAGGAGGGGGAAGAGAGGATGAATATGAATGGGGCTGACACAATATTTGAAGAGATAATTACAATTTTCCAGAGTTGATTTAAGGAACTCAACAAACCCCATGCAGAATGAAAAGAAAAAATAAAACTATACATAGACATAGTGAAACTACAGAAAACAAAAAAAGAATAATTTCAACACAGCAGATAATCTTCAAAGAAGTGTTGACTCTAAATAGCAACAAATGAAAATCTATAGTCAATGAAATGATACCCTGAATATGTTGAGAAGATGGAATTTGTAGTCCAACCTAGAATTCTATACCCAGAGAAGACATCTTCAAGAATGAAGGCAGGACAATTGACTTGTGTCCTTGGGAAACCCCCGTTGCTCCCTTTCCCCTGGCTGGCAGTGAGGAGGCCACACTATGGCTGGAGTTACTATAAAAGACATGAACCAGCAGGAGTTCATCAGCGCTCTGGCAGTCTTCCTCAAGTCTGAGAAACTGAAAGTCCCTAAATGGGTGGGGGGTGGACACCATAGCATAAAGAGGTTGCTTGCTCCCTGTGATGAGAACTGGTTCTACACATGGGCTGCTTTGACAGCATGGCACCTGTACCTCCAGGGCAGTACTGGGGTCAGCTCCATGACCAAGATCTATGTGGGATGTCAGAGAAACGGGGTCATGCCCAGCCACTTAAGCAGAGGCTCCAGGGGCGTGGCCCACAGGTCCTGCACACCTTGTGAGGGGCTGAAAACAATGGAAAAGGACCAAGATGGGGCTGTAGACTGATATCGGGGACAGAGAGATCTGGGAAGAATCACTGGACAGGTGGTAACTGCCTCCCAGAAGCATCAGAACAAATGTTGGGTTAATAAATTGGCTCATTTGTTTTTAAAAAATAAAAGCAAAATACCTGTGTATCAGTTTTGCAACTAAACCACATCAGGATTTTGGAGAAGGGGTTCAAAACCCAAGTCAGATTGCTTTACTAAGAAAGCAGTCTTCATGGGAACATCAAGTAACCTTCACAAGCTTCATGTGGACAGTGACCTATGTCCATGTCATCAGTGAACATCAGAACCTAGTAGATGCTCTCAATAAGTTTTGTTGGATTAAAAGGAAAACAAAGAAGGCAAATTAAGTCATTTGTACAATTTAAAAAATGGCACACACAAGGAACAGATGATGAAAACCAGGAGCCTAGAGTTTTGAAGACACACTTTCCTGATTTTACAGTGCCTTGAGGACCAAGTTTATCAAAATATTTATGTGTGGAGATTTACAACAGAATTGCATTATCCCTGTTCATAAGCTGAGGCTAGTCCAATATCAAATTTCTGGGAGTTAACGGTCCCCACAAAACTGTTGGTTTTGCTCAGGGCTGAGAGGAGGAATACCATTACCATTTGCTGCAATCTCTGCAGTCAAACTTAGGAATATCATACAACTGGATAAGGCCTTAAAATTCAGAGAAGCCATAGCTTGACTACCACATACTTCTTTCTGAGGAAGATAGGAAAAAAATTATGGAGGAACTGGAGAAGGACCGTGAAGGCCGTGCCTGCAACTCCCTGCATAAGTAATATGGTATCTTCCCAAAGTTGAAGTGGTTCCCGATCACAAGGCTCTCTGCATTCTCCCTTTCATATGTTGACTGATTAATGCAGTCGGTTGAACCAGGTGAAGTAGGATAGTGGGAAGAGCACTAGACTGGACATCAGAAGATTTAGGTTCTAGTCCAGTTCTGCCACTTAATAGCTGTGTGATGTAGTATGGTTGAAGGGGGAGTAGTACTTGGGTCTCTCCTAAGCTTCATATTCTCCTCTGTAAAGGTGAGAAGCAAACTAGATTACAAAGGTACCATTTAATTTTTTTCATCAACTATTTTAATATACTTTTTTGTGTGCACACAAAATCTCAGGATCCTGTTGTGCCTCAAAAGTTTTTGAGGACAAAAACTGAGGACAAAAGTGCCTCAGTGGACAAATTTTCAGAAAAATACAATTTAACAAATGGAATCATGAAACTATAGACAAACTGAAAAGTCTTATTGTCAAGGTTACCGCAAAGGAACTCCAAATCCAGGTGGCTTCATAAGCAAGGACTAACAGATTTTTAGGGAAGAAATAATGCCAGTATTTCACAGACTCTACCAGAGAATAGAAAAAGAAGAAACACTCTTTTCCCCATTATATAAGCTAGCCTAACCTTGATAGCAAAACCAGGAAGGAGAGTTCTAAGAACAATCAGAAGTCAGCCTCACTGAAAATAATTATAAAACTCCTAAACAGAATATCAGTCCACTTCTTTGAGTTCACATCTTTTTTTAGTGGAGACAGTTACTTTCACATGGATCCATTTTCTCTACTGCTTGGGCACACATAGACTTATCAGCCTCCCCATGGGAGTGGCCATGTGGCTGAGTTGGCCAATGGAATGTGAGTAGAAGTGACACATGCCGCTTCTAGGTCTGATCTGTAAAATACCTCCCACATGATCTTCATACTCTTCCCTCTTTGCCAGCCAGGTACATAGAATTATGAGGGGAACTTTTTTTTTTAAGATTATTTATTTATTTATTCAGAGAGAAGGGAGGGAGAGAGAGAGGCAGAGACACAGGCATAGGGAGAAGCAGGCTCCACGCAGGGAGCCCAACGTGGGACTCGATCCCGGGTCCCCAGGATCACACCCCGGGGTGCAGGCGGCACTAACCGCTGCACCACCGGGGCACCCAAGAGGGGAACTATTGATGTCTTGTGTGTGGAAGCACAAGATAAATGAGTCTAGGCTCTTGGATAATCTCATGCAAGTCTCTCTGAGATAAGAAACCCTCTTTTGGCTTTGTAAAAATAAGCTTCATTGTATTAGGCCACTGAAATTTGTGTTTGTTAAAGCATCTCATGTTACTTTATGCTAACTAATAAATTATATACAGCAGTATGTAAAAGGGATAGTATAGCCTAAGTAGGCTTGATCTCAGGAATGCAGGGTTGATTTACCAGAATTATCCCATTATTGTGGACTGGAATTCTCAATATTTATACTTCTGTGCCACAGAAAATAATCTTCGTAGAGTCAAAGAACTGCCAGTCAAAATCCCAAGGGTTTTTTTTGTTTGTTTTAAGAATTTAACAACTGATTCTGAAATAAAGGGAAGTTGAAGGGGAAAAGGACAGCCTGAAGAATAACAATGTGAGAGAGTGTGCTATACAATATATTGAGACTAATTTTAAAGTTGTAATAACGAAGATACTGTGACAATGGTACAAATATCAATTGCCAACCATAGCAATGAAGTAATAGCTCAGAAACAGAATCATGTGCATAAGTGGATGTGATCTATAACCATAGGGGAAAAAAACAAACTCTAATTGTGCTGGGACAATTGGATATATAGGAAAACAATTAAGGGAACCTACCTCATACCATACATAAAGTCAACCTCCAGGAAGATTATAGACTTATAATTTTATCATAAGGCAAAACTGAAAGCTTTTTAGAAGATAATATAGGAGACCTCTGTCTTCATGATTTTGAGGTAGTGCAGGATTTCTTACACAAGACATAAAAACTATAAAGGAAAAAATTGATAAATTTGACTTTGTTAAAATTAACCTGTTTTTATCTGGGGGCAGGTGGTTTTTTTTTGTTTTTAAAAACACAATGAGAAAAGATTTTTGTAATGCATAAAGTTAACAAAAGACTTACATTGATAACAAACTTAAAAATGACAATAAAGCAATAAGACAACTCAGTAGAAAACTTGGGAAGAACTTGAACAGGCACTTATAGGAAAATTCAGATAGCTAATAGGTATGAAATGTGCTTCATTTCCTCAGTAATCAGTGAATGCAAATTAACTCTTTATTGCAGGTAGAAATGTACTTTGATACAATTTTAGTTGACCCTTGAACAACTCTGCAGTTGAAAATCCGTGTTTGACCTTGTCTCCCCCAAAACTTTTTTTAAAAAGATTTTATTTATTTATTCATGAGAGGCAGAGACAGAGGCAGAGGGAGAAGCAGTCTCCCTTCAGGGAGCCCCATGTGGGACTCAATCCCTGAACTCCAGGATCATGCCCTGAGCTGAAAGCAGAGCTTAACCGCTGAGCCCAAACTCCTCCCAGACTTACCAGAAGCTTTACCAATAACATAAAAGCAGTTAACATACATTTTGTATGTTATATGTATTATATGCTTTATTCTGACATTAAAGTCAGCTAGAGAAGAGAGAATGTTACTAAGAAAATCACAAGGAAAATAAAGTGCATTTTAAAAAAAGCATCTAAGTGGGTCTGCATAGTTTAAACCTGTGGTGTTCAAAGATGAACTGTACTTTAAAAATGGTTTGTCATTATCTAGTATAAGATCCACATATTTTATAAACTTAACCATTCCATTCCCAAGAATACACCCTAGAGAAGTGTGTGCAGATATGCAGTAGGCTATGTGTCTGCATGCAGAAGTGTGCATAGCACCATTTTCATTTTAATAATGGCCAAAAGATTGAAGCACCACCGGTGTTTGTCTGGCAGTAGAATGAATAAAGTTTTTTTTTCCCCTTTGCAATGTAATACAACATTCAGTGAAAATGAACAAATTGGAATATATGCCACTCTAAGAATGAATGTAATAAAATGTATGATAAAAGAGGCAAGACAAAATAATACATTACCTATATTCCATTCACATAAAATTTAAAAGTAAAACCTAAATAATATATTTAGGGATATGTATATATGTGGTAATCCTATAAAGAAAATCCATAAAATTTTGTCATCACAGAAGTAGGATAGTATTTCCTGGAGAGGAGAGAGGAGAGGATTAAATGAATTAGAGATATATAGGTTCTAGTTCTAGTCTGTGTTTTGATTTGGTTAGAATTACTGGTATTCATTTTATAATTGTTCAATTTAATAAATTTTGATGCCCTTTTCTTTGTGAATGTTTCACAGTTCTAAAAAATTCAATGTTTTTATGCATTTCCAAATTGTCTAGGAGTATAAATGTCTTTCAAAATTAGCAACTATTATTAAAAAGGAAAAGGAGAATGTTCCTAATTTTTAAAAGTTCTATTTAGTTTAAATTCCTTAAAACTCAAGACATATTATTCCTTTATTTTAGGAGTGTTATATCTTATGTTATATCTAATTATCCATTCATCCAGTATTTATGGAGCACTTACTGCTCAGGTGCTTGACAGAAATGAGATTGAAGGTAGGTGGTGATTAATTATAGATTGATTAATTAGCTTCTCATGCATTTAAAAACTATGTATATATACCTTTTGAGTACTTTTAATTCCATAGTTTGCTTCTCAGTACTGTGATTCTATTAGTTTGGAATAGAATTTGATAGTTATAAAATTGAGCATACATTAGCAAACATTTCAGTCTTGGTAGGCAGTAGTTAAAAACACAATCTTGTCAGGTGTGGGCTCTTGTAAACACTCAGGCAGTACAAACTCCTGAGTCTAATATTTAGTGGCACATCTTAAAATTTCAGAAAATGCAGTCCCCTGGGATTTTTATCAGTTACTTAAGACTTTGTGTAGTTTAAATATTTAAACTTATTTACAGTGAAAAATATTATACTAGATTTCTTTATTAAAAGAACAAAAGATTATAGTATATATGTATATATGTGATAGTATATATATGTATTTGTTTATATCTATACACGTGCATATATAATTTCTATGGAGCATAAGCATGTCTAAAATTTTAAATACATTATTTTTTGCTGATAAGAATATAACCTAAAATTTTTATTTAAAATTAGCCACCTTTATAATCCATTTTGAAATATTTTTGCTCTTAAGTTTATAAAAAATTCTTTGAGTATACTTAGGGAAAAAAGTCTAAACCTTAGCA